CCACCAACTAACCCCCACACAGCCACTCACTCCCCCCTGGTGGGATGGGGGAGAGAATTGGATGAGTAAACATGAGAAAACTCGTGGTGTGAGATAATGACAGCTTAATAGGTAAAGCAAAAGCTGTGCACACATGAGCAAAGCAAAGCAGGGAATTCATTCACCACTGCCCAGTGGCAGGGAGGTGTTCAGCCAGCTCCAGGACAGCCAGCTCCAGGTTACTTGGGAAGACAAACATCATCCCTTCGAATATTCCCCCCTCCCTTCTTCTTCCCCTGGCTTTATATGCTGAGCATGATGTGATATGGTCTGGAACATCCCTTTGGTCAGTTGAGGTCAGCTGGTCCAGCCGAGCCCCCTCATGCCTTCTTGTGCACCCCCAGTCTACTCACAGGTGGGGTGGAGTGAGGAGCAGAAAAAGCCTTGACTCTGAGCAAGTGCTGCTCAGCAGCAGCTCAGACATCCCGCTGGGATCGACACTGTTTCCCCACCAATCCAACACACAGCCATATGCCAGCTGCTATGAGGAAAATTAACTCTCTCCCAGCCAAAACCAGCACAGCGTGTGCTGCAGGGAAGAACAGGGAAAACCCACTAAGGTAAGAGATCTGAAGTGACTGCAAATATTTTTTCTGTTTCTCTTAGAGGGCTAAAAGAGAAGAGGAAAAAAAATCTCCTCATGCAGTGTTGGATATGTGAATTCTAGTGAAATTTTCTCTGACCCTCTGCCCCCTCCTCCAGATAAAAACCTAATATTTGGGTTGGGTTTTTATACTTCCTTTGTCCTCCTTAAGAGAAACATTAATGTATCTGACCAGCAAGCAGAGTGCAAGTGTGTGAGAGACTGTTAAAAGTCATGTAACCACTGCAAATTTTATTTACCTTCTGTCAGGAAGAAGTCAAAACATCCCCCACATTTCAGCAAGTCCTTTTCAAACTCCCAGAGGCTATCTTGTTCTGAAAATACCTTCTGATTCTGTTTTCTAGTACCAAAACCAAAAGTAAAATCCATATGTGCGAGAAGGAGATTGCCAATAAAGCTTTGACAAATAAAAAAGTGAACATCAATTTTGATGCAAACAAAAGCTGCAGATTTTGGAAACTACAGCTGCCAATTACACTGTGCAGCCGTTTTCCACAGCAAGTGGCTCCAAACCCACATCTGGGTATTTTGTTCACAGAATGACAGGGTTTGGCTTGGAAGGGACCTTAAAGATCATCTAGTTTCAACCCCCCGGCCACCCCTCCCACTAGAGCAGGTTGCTCAAAGCTCCATCCAACCTGGCCTTGAACAGCTCCAGTGATGGAGCATCCACAGCTTCTGTGGGCAGCCCGTTCCAGTGCCTCACCACCCTCAGAGTGAAGAACTTCACCATTTCTAATCTAAATCTCCCCTCTTCCAGTCTGGACCCATTGCCCCTTGTCCTATCACTACAAGCCCTTGTAAGGAGCCCCTTCCCTGCTGTCACTAGTGTGAGCTTGCTCTTTCTTTCTTTCAGCCAAACGGAGGTCTTTCTTGCCTGTCATCACGGATTTGGGCGACCTTATCACGGTCCCCTGTGGAACAAAATTATCTCAATACCTGGTTTACTCCTTATCCTTTGGATCTGTGCCTTTTTTCAGCGTTAAATTTGCAAGACTTTAGATAAGCAGGTCCTGTGGATAGGAAAGAGGCTGAGGCACCATTAAGCAAGAGACTCGATAACACACCTTTATTGGGCTTCACAAAGCACCAGAAACAGAGACCGTCGGTGACGTGGCTTGAGTTCAGAAAGCGATACCTTTAAGAAGGGAAAAGGGACCGACTGCAGCTCTGGGAGCTGCCAGCCTAGGGCAGAAAGTACATTAGAGAGAAGGAATTAAAAAATAAAACCCAAACCGTGGCAAGGGATGGAGAGCCGTGCTGGGGACAAGAGTACTGGGAAACGGAGAGAGATCCAGCTGTCCTCAGTTTGTGTCTTGGGCAGCAAGACGTCCTCAGTCTGTGTCTTGGGCAGTAAGATGATCTGAAGCCCTGTGGGCCATCGCAGGGTGGATGGAGAGAAAGCACTTCCTGGGCTTGAGGTTCCCAGGAGGAGTAGGTGACTGTGAGAGGGACACAGGAGGGGGTGGAGTGTTGGCTTTAGGAGGTGCTTCTGCAATCCATCAGTTTGCGAAAGCTCCTCCGGAAATTGTCATCCAGAAAGGCATACAGGAAAGGGTTGAAGCAGCTGTTGGCATAACTCAGGCTAGTAATGAAGTAGGAAACGCCAATGACGAGTGGAGTCTGTGGGATATCTGTGGTGAGGGCCACCACTGTGCTCAGGTGATAGGGCGTCCAGCAGGACAGGCACACGGCCAGGATGACAACCACCATCAGCGTCACCTTTCTCTTGGCCTTGTCCAGGGCTTTTGCGTTGCAGCGGAGGTGCACACGTCTCAGTCTGCACAGCATGGTCGTGTAGAGGATGCAGATGGTGGACACTGGGATGGCAAAGCCTAAAACAAGAGTGTAGATCCGACTGCCTTTCCACCAGCCGCTCTCGGGGTGGGGGAACACAAAGACGCACTGGGAGCGGCCCTGCTCCTTGTGGATCTTGGCAAAGACGGTGAAGGGCAGGATGATGACTGTGACCAAGGACCAGACACAGAGGCTCACAATCTTGGCCGCTCGGGATGTGCGGGAGCACA